GTCTCTGCTTTTAATTTCTGGTGTGCACATGGATCTCAGGAAGGGGAGATTAAAGGGTCTTCTAATAATTTAACACTGTTGGCTCAGGACAAGATTCTGAAAGTAAGTCTGGACCAATTTTCCCTAAGGACACTATAATCACTTGAGATCTGAAGTACAAGGATGGGGAAACCACTAGAATGCTAGCTGCATCCCGTGTCACTGCTGGGATATACAAGTGAGGGGGGCAACAGGGAAAAACCTGCAGAGGAATGCACCTGCACTTCTTACCCCGAGATGCTCATGGGTGGACGAGCTGAGGCCAGGTAGATGGCTTGAATTAAATTTCAAGTAGTGCTTCTGGAGTCCTTGGCACCATCCCATGGGGACCACGGAGGCCTGCATGTGGAGAAGAGTCTAGTTTAGCTGCATGTCAATAGGAGCCACAGATGGAAGACTCTGGATGAGGGAAAAGTAGGAGGCAGAAGGGAAATGGCACCAGGAATCATCAGGTTGGCTCCCAAAAGTAGAGGCCTGCCAGGCTTGAATTGGCTGGTGATAGGTCAGACCCTGTGGCAGTAGAGCAGTGGGACCAAGGAGGTTAATTTTGTTTTCGTTGTAAGAGTGGGGACTGAGTCCTCAGAATAGGAGCTGAGCGTTATAAAGTTTTTGGGTGGTAGAGCCATGGAGGAATGAAACCAATCTAACCAATTGTTAGGCATTTTCACAAATTAGCTCATTTAATCCCAACCACCACTTTATTTATTTATTTATTTATTTATTTATTTATTTATTTATTTATTTATTTATTTATTTATTTTCTAACCACTACTTTATTTTTTAACATTTATTTTTTAAAGACTTTATTTCTCTCTCTCTCTCTCTCTCTCTCTCACACACACACACACACACACACACACACACACACACACACAAGAATGCACCCAAGCAGGCGGAGCAGCAGGCAGAGCGAGAGGAAGAAAAAGATATGCAGAGAGATATGAAGCTCAATCCCAGGACCCTGGGATCATGACCTGAACCAAAGGCAGAAGCTCAACCAATTGAGCTACCTAGGTGCCTGGTAACCACCAATTTAGATAAGGAAACCTAGGATCACATGCCTGGTGTGCAGCACAGCGGGGATTTGAACCTAGTTCTCCCTGACCTCAGTGGGTGTGCTCTTTCCAGCTCTAGTGTGAGAGCCAGGGCATTCCTACTTTCCCTTTTTATCTATCTCCTGCCTTACTCCATAGGCATTCTCTCATTTCCTCTGCCTATTATAATTCATGTTCCCGTCTTCTCCCTTTCTCCTTTTAGTAATCACAATTTATAACAACTATATTTATTAAACAAAATCAATTTTATTTTATTTTTTTTAAAGATTTTATTTATGAGGGGGAGAGAGAGCGAGCGAGAGAGAGCGAGCCTGCGCATGGGAAAGGGCAGAGGGAGGGAGAGAGAATCTCAAGCTGATTCTGCAGTGAGCATGGAGCCTGATGCAGGGTTCAATCTCATGACCCTGAAATCATGATCTGAGCTGAAATCAAGAGTCAGACACTTAACCAACTGAGCCACCCAGGTGCCCCTAAACAAAATCAAGTTTTAAAGTAGGCTAGTTGAAAATATGTAGTCTTTTAAAACACAAGACTCCTACTCTTCTAAAATGAGGAAAAAGTTTTCTTGTACTAACTTATGCAAAGCCTATTACTCATTTTTCTTTCTCTTTATGGATCATTATATTCAAGGAAAACAGTAGGTCAATGGATATATGATCAAAATATTAGAGCTGACAGATGTAGAAATTGCAGCATCAGGAAGCTTAGTGACTTGTTTAGGATAAAATGGCTAGTTCCCGAATGATCCAAATAATCGAGGGCAAGAGTGAAAGTGGGAAATCCTGAGTTTACAAATAAATTGAGTTTCAAAAGTTTGTTTGTAAATCAGTTATTTGACTTTTGGTATATTTTCTCAATGAATAGGTAGGAATGCAACCCGATTATCTTATCAGAAAATAGCTGAAATCTATTATTATTATTTTTAAAGATTTTATTTATTTATTCATGAGAGACACAGAGAGAGAAAGAGAGAGAGAGAGAGAGAGGCAGAGAGACACAGGCAGAGGGAGAAGTAGGCTCCATGCAGGGAGCCTGACATGGAACTTGATCCCGGGTCTCTAGGATCACGCCCTGGGCTGAAGGCGGTGGTAAACTGCTGGGCCACCGGGGCTTCCCTGAAATCTATTATTTGTTCCCAAGAATAGTAAAACAATCAACCCCAAATTGTTATGCAATACTTAAATTTAACACAGTATTAAGAGAACACACTGAGTGAGAAGGATTTTAATTTTAAATGCATGAAAGAGAAGCTTAATTGGGAGAATGAATGAATGAACTGGATGGTCTGGTGGAGATTCTGAGAATGACTTTTGGACTCTGATCAGAGACTTTTGGAAATGGATGATTGATACTCTTTTTAAGAGATAGTAAAGGAAGTTTCCTTACTGGCCAATATTTATTATACCCAGGAGTTTAAAAACCATTCATTCAAAATCCATCAATTAAATATACTATTCAAAGCAGCATCTAAGTCACAGTTTCTCTCTATGCACTTTTCACTCTCTGCACAAAAAAGCACTTTCCTTCTGGTTTTGCTGTTCCTAACCAGAGATCATCCCCCCCTTTTTTTTTCCACATTGAATGATAAAATATCCTCCCTAGAAGCCTAATTCAAATGTCATCTCAATTTTTAGAATCCCTTGACAAGACATTAGCAGTCCCTCCTCTGAAACCGGTTGCATTTTGATTGCATTTCTTTTATGATGTAGTTTGTCTCCTGTTTTAGTTTTTGGGTGCCCAGTACATAGTTATCAAATGCAATTAAATTATAATAATTCCGTTTCTCCTCAAGAAATGCTTTAAAATCACCTTCGCCAAATGATATTCCTAGGTCACCTGGGTGGCTCAGCAATTGAGCATCTGCCTTTGGCTAGGGTGTGATCCTGGAGTCCTGAGATCGAGTCCCTCATTGGACTTCCTGCATGGAACCTGCTTCTCCCTTTGCCTCTCTCTGTCTCTCTCTCTCTCTCTGTCTGTCTCTCTGTCTCTCATGAATAAATAAACAAAATCTTAAAAAAAATATTCCCCTCATCCCTAGTCCCTAGCCCTACTTTATTTTCTTTATAGTAGCTATCGTACTGGACATAATAGATATTTGTTTATTGCCTGTCTCCTCCATCAGAATGTATGACCTACTTTGTTTCATTTACTGCGTTATCCTTTCCCCAGCACCTAGAACGGTGTCTGGTTCAGAGTAGGAGTTGAATAAATCAATGTAACTGGAAGCGAAAGAATACTAACTGGGGTATATAAGACACTGGATTTCATAATTCATTAGTTCTATCAGAGCTTAGCTGCAGGACACAGAGCAAGTCATTAACCCATGATGGGCCTTTCCCTATAGAATCAACAAGATTTTTAGGTCTCATGTAATTTCATTACTCTGAGAGTGGGAAGTGAGAGACCATGAACAAATCGAGTTCAGGTAGATGAGTGTGTGTGTGTGTGGGGGGGGGAAGAACGCTCTAGGCCAGTTACAGGAGCTACGTGGTGAAAGGCACAAAGAAAGCAAAAAGCATAAGTGAGAGAAAGATGCAGAGAAAGGGCTGCCTTCAGGCGCATGAGCCTGTCAACAATGTCCTGGGAGCTGTGAAGTGGAGAGCTGGGGGCCATACAGAGATGTTGGCCTGGTTGAGAAGAGGCTCCCAGAGAAGAGGAAAGGCAACTAATAAAAGGGGGCGGGGGTAACGTGTATGCTGCAAGCTCCACATACTTTTGAATTTTGCCTTCCTTTCCAGTAAACAACCACTCTGCTGCGACTTTGTCAGGCTCTGATTAAACATGTGGCTCAGACGTGAAAGCAAATGAAATGTTCTATACAAAGAATCACATTAAAAAAAAAAAGAATCACATTAGTTCTCCATTTAATTTGACAAGACTTCTTTGACTCCTCAAAGCAGGCTCGATTCTAATCTCTTATCCTGACATCTGCACAGCACTGCTCTTCTCATCTGAGAGGATGTTATCTCGTCCGTCTAGTGTTGCAAGCTTCTCCTATGGCCTGGTCGCCCCTGCCCTGGTGCCTCTCCTCCCCCACACCAGGGAGCCTAAGAAGGGCGCTATTTTTCTTTTCCTGTACCAGCCTGGTACAGTATCCCGGAGTCAGTCTCTGTCTCTCACTCTCCTATACTTAGGCATATTTCTTTTTTTAAAAAATATTTTATTTATGAGAGAGAGAGAGAGAGAGAGAGAGAGAGACAGAGACACAGGCAGAGGGGGAAGCAGGCCCCAAGCGGGGAGCCCGATGTGGGACTCGATCCTGGGACTCCGGGATCACGCCCTGGGCCGAAGGTGGTGCTAAACCGCTGCGCCACCCGGGCTGTCCACTTACTCATACTTACTGCAGACTATAGCTCAAAGTTACGTTTCATCAAAGGTCTAGGCTTGGTTTGTAAAATAGGAACTGACCCAGGCAGGGGTTTTGAAATGTCCTACATAGGCTGCCAAAGGGCTGTATGCATTTCAGAGAGGGCCGTCGAAGAAGTAACCACGGACCCTTTTTGTCTGCTTAAAAACACACTTGGGAAATGGTCCTCACAGCTTCACCCGTTTTCTATACCAAGGTCACTGCCGCCCTGTCCTTGGGCGCAGGGACCGTCTCGCCTTGCAAGAAGTGAGCCGCAGCGGGCAGCGACGCAGCCGCTGAGGCCGCCGTTCCCGCGGCCACGGAGGGAGGAGGAGCCCCAGGGACCCACGCCCGGAGTCCCGCCCGCAGTCCCCACGCCCCGCCCGCGGCAGCGCCTTGGGCGGCAGCGCCCCCTCCGGCTTCCAGGCGGCGGCCGCACCCCGGCTGCGCGGCCCAGGACCGGCGGCGCCCCGCGCAGGCGCACTGAGGCCGGGGAGGGGGCGGGCCGGGCTCGCGGGGCCGGCCGCGGGGTGCGAGGGAGGGGCGCGGGGGCGGGCGGGCGGGCGGCGTTTCCGCTGCTCCCGGGGCGCTCCCAGCCGCTGCCCGGAGCCTCTTCTGCTCGCGTCCCCGGCCCGGCCCGGCTCCCTGCGAGGCTCGGCGCGCTTAGGTCCCGGCGGCACCCTCGGGTGAGTGCTCGCCCGGCGGGGCTGGGGCTGCGTCGGGGGAGGCGGCTGCGGGCAGGACCGGCCTGGGGCTCGCTAAAGCCGCCGCGTCTGTCTGTCTGTCTGTCTGTCTGTCTGTCTGTCTTGCAGTTCGGCATCCCGCTGCCTGGACCCGAGCAGTCGCCATGGCACAGGTACGGCCGTGCGCCCCGGCGCGGCTTCGTAGGCGGACTCCGGGGAGCTGTGGGGCTTGTCTGAGCCAGAAGAGTTTCGGGCCCGCGGAAGGTGCCCCCGGGGAGCCGCCCCCCGCCCCGCTGCTGCGCCCCCGGCTCCTCCCGCGCCGTGCCCGCCGGGACCTGCCCCCGAGCGGCCCGTGGGGCGCGGCCGCGGGTGACGTGGCGGGCTCGGGGCGCCCCCTCGCCGCGAGGGACTGTCGGGCGCCCGCGCTGGATCCCGAGACGCCGCGTAACCGAGCCGGGGGCGGGGGGGGGGGAGCGCTCCTGGCGCTCGGGCCGCGAGAGCGGCTTTGTTCCACGTCTTTCTTTGGTTGCCTTCCTTCCTCCCTTCCTCCCTTCCCCTCCTCTCCCCTCCTCCTTCCCTCCTCTCCTCCCTCCTCCCTCCTCTCCCCTCTCCTTTCCCTCCTCTCCTCTCCCTCCTTCCCCTCCTCTCCCTCCTCCTTCCTCCTCTCCTCTCCCCTCCTTTCCCTCCTCTCCCCTCCTTTCCCTCCTCTCCCCTCCTTTCCCTTCTCTCCCCTCCTTTCCTTCTCCCCTCCTCCTCTCCCCTCCTTCCCCTCCTTTCCCCTTCTTCCCCTACACTCCCCTCCCCTCCATCTCCTTCTCTCCCCTCCTTTCCCTTCTCTCCCCTCCTTCCTCTCCCCTCCCCTCCATCTCCTTCTCTCCCCTCCTTTCCCTTCTCTCCCCTCCTTCCTCTCCCCTCCCCTCCATCTCCTTCTCTCCCCTCCTTTCCCTTCTCTCCCCTCCCCTCCTTTCCCTTCTCTCCCCTCCCCTCCTTTCCCTTCTCTCCCCTCCTTCCTCTCCTCTCCCCTCCTTTCTCTCCTCTCCCCTCCTTACCCTCCTTTCCCCTTATTCCTCTCCACTCCCCTCCCCTCCATCTCCTTCTCTCCCCTCCTTTCTCTCCTCTCTCCTCCTTTCCCTTCTCTCCCCTCCTTCCCCTCCTCTCCCCTCCTTCCCCTCCTTTCCCCTCCCCTCCCCTCCATTTCCTCCTCTCCCCTCCCCTCCTTTTCCTCCCCTCCCCTCCGTTCCCTCTTCTCCCCTCCTTCCTCTCCTCTCCTTCCCCTCCCTCCCCTCCATTTCCTCCTCTCCCCTCCTTTCCCTGCTCTCCCCTCCCCTCCTTTCCCTCTTCTCCCCTCCTTCCTCTCCCCTCCTTCCCCTCCCCTTCCCTCCTTTCCCTCCTCTCCCCTCCTTCCTCTCCTTTCCCCTCCTTCCCCTCCTCTCCCCTCCTTTCCTACCGTTTCCTGTGTTATTTTAATACCGAGGGTGGGCAATGGCTTTTTCCAGTAGAGCTCTGGTGAGCTTTTTCCAGTTGCTAAACCCAGTTTTACAAAAGGGAACTGTTCCTTGTAGGCACTGCTTCCCCCCCCCCAGCAAAGCAAAAGATTACACAGAAGAGCTGTTTTTTCTTAAGTAACCAACTCGCGGAACAAGTTCTAAATTGAATTTGCCTTGGGAATGTTTCAGAATTTGATTACCTAATATTGGCCTTCTTTGCTCTTCTTAATATTTATCGAAAATATGGGAAAGAAAAAAATTCATACAGCAGTCTTTTATTTATTTTTTTTAAGACTTTATTCATGAGAGACACAGAAAGAGAGAGAGAGAGAGAGGAGAGAGAGAGAGAGAGAGAGAGAGAGAGAGAGAGAGAGAAAAGCAGGCTCCATGCAGGGAGCCTGACACAGGATTTGATCCGGGACTCCAGGATCACGCCCTGGTGGAAGGCAGAGCTAAACCGCTGAGCCACCACCCAGGCATCCATACAGAATTCTTTTTAAAAGTGACTGTGTTGGGGGGATCCCTGGGTGGCTCAGCGATATGGCGCCTGCCTTTGGCCCAGGGTGTGACCCTGGAGTCCCGGGATCAAGTCCCTGCATGGAGCCTGCTTCTCCATCTGCCTGTGTCTCTGCCTTTCTCTCTCTCTCTATGTCTATCATGAATAAATAAATAAAATCTTAAAAAAAAATGACTGTGTTGTACAGTCTTTTGTGAATAGAATATCAGTGCTAACAACTCCACTGCAAAACCAATTTTACAGATCTCAGCAATCAAACTGGCTTGTCAGAGTCCAGATAATTTTTCTAAAACCAGTATCTTAACTGTTCAGACAATGCTCTCTTTATACTCTTCATTTATTAAAACAACAACAAAAAAGATCCAAACAAAACTGACATCAAAAGTGAGTAAGGCTTCAAGGTCCTTTCCAAGAGAAAATGGGAGGTTTATGGTGACTTGGTAACTTTATTAAATTTGTGCAGTGCTTTCATTGTTAGTTACTTCCTCATTTTCACTTAAGAAACCAATTCTCATATTACTTCAAATGGAAACTTTGGTTTAGGTTCTTCTCATGTAAAGGATATTTTTAGGTGGAATTAACTTTCCTTCACTAAGAGTTGTTTTTCTTATCCTGATATGCTGTTGTGGTGATGTACATGATGATTGAACAAACATCAAAGAATAATTCCCTTTATCCTTGCTCATTTGGCTGTTTCTTGAATCTCTTTTGTAAGTTGACCCAGTGATGTCTGAAGTTTCTCAATCAATTCCTTTTAATTATGTGGACTCCAGATAGCACAAACGAACAGGTTTTTCAAATTGTGAACTTAGGGATGCTTTGTACTCTTGTGTATATTTATATTGATGTTTTTTGTTATATAAATTATAGATTTTTATCTTATAATTAATAAATTCATATCAATGCAAATTTTTAAAATTTTACCCTAATAATATCAGTATAGGGAGACAAAGCCATGACAGATATTGTGAATTGCATAAAAAAGTGCTTTATATTATCATATTGGGTAAATACTTTCAGAGCTGGAGGTATTTGTGAAATAACCACCACTTGGGCTCCGCCCTTCTCTTTCTGGTCCTAACCCTCATCCACTAGCATTGAAACATGGGGGTCTACCAGTTGACTATTACCATGGAGAGAAGTAGTCTAACACGAGGCTTCTCAGTATTTCTCAAAGAGAACACACAGGTTAACTGTATCTTCTCCATGACACACACAAAAAAATATGGATTACAAATGTACTTACATATAAATGATTCCTGGACAATATTTTTTTTATAGCTTTTAAATCCTTCACTTGAATGGTTTTGTATTTATCTGATTTGGAACCTATTATTTTAGAATAAATTTGCTAAATGAATGATAAATTATTATATTATTGAATCACTGACATTTTCTACTGTGCTAAATTTGAGTTCAAGCTAGTTCAAGATCTTTAATAAGGAATGGCCAAAGAGCTTTTAATTGCCTGAATTATCTATATATAGTAAAATATTTTTTAACATTTTTAAATTTAAATTCAGTTTGCCAACATATAGTATAACACCCAGTGCTCATCTCATGTGCCCTCCTTAATGTCCTTCACCCATTTGCCATCCCCCTACCCACCTCCCCTTCTGCAGCCCTTTGTTTCCCAGAGTTCAGAGTCTCTTATGGTTTGTCTTCCTCTCTAATTTTTCCCTGCTCAGTTTCCCCCTTCCCTATGGTCTCTTTCACTACTTATATTCCATATATGAGTGAAACCGTATGATAATTGTCTTTCTCTGATTGACTTATTTCACTCAGCATGATACCCTCCAGTTCCATCCATGTCATTGTAAATGGTAGTATTCATCCTTTCTGATGGCTGAGTAAATTCCATTGTATACATATACCACATTTCTTTGTAGTAAAATATAGATTAGGATTACCTGTTTACCCATGACCTATGGGTCTTTGGGTTACTGTCTCTCAGTTCCTGATACCTCTGACTCTTGTTTACATTTTGGATGCTGAGAAAAATCTAGATCCCAAATTGCTTGGCTGCTTTACAGGTCACTGAGCAATTCATTGGCATTCAGTGAACCTTATTGCCTTATCTAGATCTAGTCCCCCTGGACACAGGTGGCAAGCTAGTGAGTTGGGCAATCTGTGCTTTGTTTTGTGTTTTGTTTTAGTGACTTAGAAATTTAAAGTGATAGGAATATAATATTTTTACATCCTAGATCGATTTCTGAAATAAATTTTATTCATATAACTTGTATATTATCTAAAACTGTTGATCTTTACAAAAACTAGTATTCCTAAGATCTTTGCTTTAAGTGTTTTTTGGACCCACACAGCCTTTCAGTGGTTTGTATAGTTTTAGTAGTTTATATAGTATATTTAGTAGTTTATATAATATGTAAACCTATATGCAATTGATTTACTAGAATGAATGTATATTCTAGTTGGTATCATTTCTTTGGACTCTTGTTCCTAACTGTTCTCTTTGCTTCCCATTCATGCATGCATTCATGAATGTATGAAGTTTTTGAGTTCCCACTATGTACCAGGTATTGTTAGACATGGGAAACAAAAAAGGAAATGGAACAAAAACTTATTTGTATAACAGATGCATTGCTAAGTCTGTTTATGCATTATTTAGTGCTCGTAATACAGTTTTGGAAGGAAGTATTACTATTTCAATTTCACAGAAGGGAAAATTGAGGTTTCTTACAGGCAGCAGTAGGATGGGACAAGGAGGAAAGACATTTGTAGAGACAACACCCGCAAAGATGAATGCTCAGAAATATGAAGGAGTTTGGCTTGGCCAGGAGTATGGTATTGCTGTAGTGAAGCTGCCATCAGGTGGGTAGATGGAGCCCTGTCTTGGAAAGGGATGCTGGAAGGAGCTAGAGAATATGAACCAGGGGATCCCTGGGTGGTGCAGGCAGTGGTTTAGCGCCTGCCTTTGGCCCAGGGCGCGATCCTGGAGACCCAGGATCGAATCCCATGTCGGGCTCCCAGTGCATGGAGCCTGCTTCTAACCTCTGCCTGTGTCTCTGCCTCTCTCTTTCTCTCTCTCTCTCTCTGTGTGACTATCATAAATTAAAGTTTACAAAAAAAAGAATATGAACCATTTTGTAGGTAAGAAGAGCTATCAAGGAGTTGTGAGTTGGGATGTGCCATGGTTAGCTTTGTATTTAAC